TATTATTATCGAACACCGGCTATGAATTCCAGTGGAAGGTCCCGGTTAATCGTCCGCTTGGACTTTTGGCTTTCACCTGGACCTGATTTTTGCGTGTACAACCGTTTTTCATTTCCTTGCCTCTTGGGCAGCTGTACGCCGACTTCGAAGGAAGACGTCAGGCCTATTTCTAGGGTGACTGTGGCCATTGTTTTGTGTGGGTCGAGAAGTTTGCCTAATTTGTGTGGTGTCCATCTGCCCCTTTGGGGCAGCCCCCTGTGGAACAGTTGGCCCTCAAGGGAAGGCAGGGGCAGATCATGGGCATTCCCCGCCATCCAAGAAGGCTTCCATGCATGCAGAGCCGGCACATATTGCTCTGATTCTGGGCTCACCCAAGGAATCGTCACGTCCTGCACATGCCTGCTTAACCTCACAACCGTATCAGGCCTCCCACTCGACATGGGCCGCGCCCTCTGGAAGTCAGCGGGGAGCAGCCCGTGGGTTTTGGACTTTTGTGACCACACAGATAGGTGCATTAGCCTGACAGAATTTCACATCCTGAATCAGGCGCATCGTTATCAGTTTTGTCCCAACACTCGGGCGAGTGGGGTCTTTGGGTGTGGATATTCGGTCTTTTTCAGTTCAGTGCAAATTTTGATGGTCAGATTTTGATCCGTATGATCTAGTTTTGTCGGACATTTAGGCTTAGCAATCTGATGGATGGTTGCTGCTGTGGTGTACCCCAGCTCGGTGACGACGACACTGAGGGTTAACCGAGGATGTACGTGAATGGCCAGCCTATGGATGGTTGTTGTGGTGCACCTCAGCGCGGTGACGACGACACTGAGGGCCAACCGAGGATGTACAAGGATGGCCAGCCTATGGGGAGGGTTGCTGTTGTGGCTGTACCTCAGCGCGGTGACGACGACACTGAGAATTAACAGAGGATGTGCAGTGAGCAATGATCTCTTTACTCAGCAGTCTTTTAACCAAAGGTTGTAATTTTAGCTGTATGTTTGTCAACCCTACTCGTGTTCCTAATTTTTGATAATATTTTTCACCCAAGCGTTTGGGGGCGGGCTGATGAGAGCCACAAGGACACATCACCTCTGGGGGCCGCCAAACTCCGAGATCCCCTGACAGCTCTGTTAATGCTCATTTGAGACATTATCCGTGGCGCACGACGAGGACGTGCTGTAGGGGTCTTGCGTGAGGTTCCGTACAACCAGGATAGTAAAGGACTGGCGCCCGAGTGACGTACGGAGTATCTCCTTATACACGTCATGTTGGGCTTAACTTCCCCTCACGCCTGTGACATAAATCACCGCGCCACATTCATAATTTTGACACTTTGCATCTTTGTAATTCTATAGGTGAATTTATTTAAATTTTCACAAAAGAATATCTTAGGGTTCTGTCAATCAATTGAAACTTTTTTTTTATATATGGATCACGATAATTTTGCGTATTTTACGTAATTCAAGTACAACATGAATTTAGTTCAGATGTCAACGTTGACGAGCAAAGGGAGGACCACGTTGCTTTCCTACAGCAAGGCGGGTTTTTAGGACACACCGGAAAATGTGAAATATTTCGAAACCATATGACGTATTCTGGACTCTCTTGTGGGACGTACGCTGATGCTGTGGAGTAGGGGGTTGGGGTTATGACCAGCTGTAGATGTTGTGGGGTCGTTAAAAGCGGTCAGAGCATGAGCATGTCATGTGGATCCGGTGATAGATCGAAGACAAAGCAACGTGACACGGGACGTAGCCTGCACCTTTTTGTGGGACGTGGACTGAGGCTATGAGGTAGAGGGGTTGGGGTTAGGGCCGGTTCTAGATGTTCTGAGGTCGTTAAAAGCGGTCACATCTTGTAATATAGTACACGTGTCATCGCCGATGAGAGCGTTGAAGACAGAGCGATGTGACACGCCTGTAACTTAGACTAGCGCGTGTGAAGGGTTGGGAAACATGAATAAAAGGCTATTTACACTCTGTCTTGGATGGAAAACGTTTAAAAAAACAACAACTCAGGGCGTGAATTGCGTGGGATTTTGTAATCGTTACACAGCAGTAATTAATTGTGTTTAAGACCAAATTTTGTGAGCATAGCTCATGATGAGTGCACAAGAAAGCAACACAATTTCAGGTAAACACTATTTACTACCCATGCAATTGAACCTCTATAAAAGGAGATTCGGATCTTTTTATGTGTTACGTTTTAAACAGAGCGTAACTAGTCTTTTATTCCTGATTTCTATACTGTGCGTCGTATGTGCGGCGAGCTAGACGTTGCGTTTCACTTGTTGTAAGCAGGTGGCGATATTGCGTATATTACGGTGTTCAAGTGCGACATGAAATTAGCTCAGCTGTCAGCGTTGATGGGGTTTTAGGGCGCAACGGAAAATGTTAAGTGATAGCATCGAAGACAATACAACGTGACACGGGATGCGGGCTGAGGCTGTGGGTTAGGGGTGTTGGGGTTAGGGTCAGTTATAGATGTTCTTAGGTCTTTAAAAGCGGCCACATCGTGTAATATAGTCTACGTGCCATCGCTGGTGAGGATTAAAAAAAAGCGCTATGTGGCACCCCTGTAACATATTCTAGCGCGTGTAAAAGGTCAGGAAGCAATAATGAAAGGTTAATTATTACATTCTGTTTGGGGCAAAATACAAAAAAGAACCTCCGCTTTAAATATTTAAATATAGCGTAATAATTAGCCTTTTAATCATACTTCCTGACCTTTTACTCTATGTTACAGGGGTGTCTGCTAGCGCAGTCTTCGACGCTATGCTCACAAATATGGTTTTAGATACAACTGACAACTGTGTTGTAACGATTACAAAAAAACCACACATTTCACGCCCGCATGTCCACTGGACATGGTAGACAACACTTTTCACGTACATGAGTACGATATTTTATTTACAAACTCATAAAAAAGCGTCATCGGGTAACTATGAGTTTATATATATATATATATATATATATATATATATATATATATATATATATATATATATATATATATATATATATATAGTTGTATATAGTTTTTTTAATTTCATTGACCATTTTTAGACATTGGTTATTACTTGATGTGGCTGTCCACAGTATTCGCAATATGCCTTTCGGAAACAAGACAAGAAGTAGATGAACAATCAGAACTCGTTGCTCATGAGATATTGCTGGTTCACGGTTGAGAGAGCAGGTATGACATGTAGTAGAACAGTAGTTAAATTAGTTTATTTTATAAGGTCGAATTCGTTACTTATCTGTACAAAGTGGATGAATGAAGGTGGTCGATTTAAAGGAATTCCTATAAGCGTTCGGGGATTTCCCGTAAGCGCTTGGTGCCCATATTCAGCAGCCATAGCAGAGTTACAATACTACAGGCGCCAGTAGCAGTCCAATTATACGTCCGTTTTGCTTTCTCTTAATGGTAACCTCGTCACTCCTCGCTGCCTCACACTCACCAGACTATGGTCATCTGGAGCCTGCCTTATCATACATCAGTATTCCACCAAGTTAAGCAGAGCTGGCCTGTCTGTCCCCTGTTTATTTCCGCTACACTAGATAATGGGCGTCTGTGGTTTAGGCTTTGCGAACGTACTTCGCTATTCAGGGTTCCGGGTTCGATCCTAGCTGCAGGTGATATGGCAGCAGAGCGTCTTGCGTTGGTTTCGACAATAGTATCAATAGTCGACATTTGAGAAAGCAAAAGCAAACTACTGAAAGTAAATTTGCTTAGACAAACCACAACATCTAAAAAATACTTGGGTGGTTCTGCTGGAAAGGATACATAACAGTAGAGAAGGTAAAACCAAAGCAGCCCGTCGTTGTTTTTTTTTTTTACGACTATGGAACGCATGACTAGGTAAACAATGCGGTCATTAGAAGACTGGCACACTGAGAAATATTTGTTCTTATCTGTAATTCTGGTGTTGGCAACGGCGAATTCGTTGTTCCTTTGCGTCAAACAGTATTTTCTGTCTAGCCTCTGGGCTTCTTCTTCTACAAGTCACCCGTGAAGCCACCTCCGCACTGCAAGACTTCGCTTTACAAACTTTTCGACTGAACGTTGAATTTACCACACCTTATATAATAGAAGTCGACGCCATATTTACACTGCGTGTCTAAAGATTTCAAAACATGAAATCTAAGCTTTTGAAATGTAAATGTCTGAATTTCAAGAGAATATGTCTTTGATGACAATAATATTTTACTGCTATCATTTGGACATACTGTCTCTTAAATTGTTTAATCAGTGTGTTCAATAGACATTTTTATGTTACTGGTGCCTTTCTTCTCCACCCCCCTTTCTTTCATACTCTCTCTCTCTCTCTCTCTCTCTCTCTTGCTCTCTCTCTCTCTCTCCTCTCTTTTATTTCATCTCATCAAAATCATTATCACAATTTCCACTTCGTCTGTTTAGCCGCGTGGGGACGAACAGTTTACTATCCATTGCTTGATCGGCAGCAATGGCTATTGTCCCTCCGTATCGATGTAGAAGCTCTGTCATGTCATCAATCTATGTTCTCCTAAGGTGAATTAGCTTCCACATTATATCGTATCATGCGTAGCGCCTGCGTTGGTAAGTATAGCTGTATTCTTACAAGATGATCAAACAATTTGATCTTCTGTATCTCAATAAATTTGCTGCATGGCGTTTTTCTTATTGTCTGATAAAACCATTTCTAACTTTGAACTCGATTGGTTAGGTCGGCGACTTTTCTCAGGCATGCCGTTTCACATTTATTAATTTTACGTATGCTAGTCTTTGATAATATTCAAGACTGGTACTGGCAGCACAGTGTTGGTATGAATATAAAAAATTTTCTGGGCCCATAATTATGTTTGGATGTCCCAATAACGGTGTCAGTTAGTATACACGTGTACAGGGTCGATGGCATCTTTTTTTCTATTTACTGGTCTGTTCTTTCCTCCTCCGAGAATATACTTCCCAAATATTTAAATGTTGTAATCCTTTTTATTTATACGTACACATTATTATTATCTTCAAAATGAAAATATCCTTGCTTTTGGGTGAGGTTCCCCATACGTAAATGTGTGTTGTTTCTTTAACCGTTTCTCTGCTGTATCTTTGCAAATGTACCCTAAGCAGAAAAATGTTACATCTGGACCGTAGAGACCGAACTGTCCGTCGTGGCAACTGTATTCAGCCATGTCCACTTGCTGTTGGTCGATGTATTCAGGAGAGTACATGGCCCCAATACCTTGCTGGTCAGTACTGGACATGCCCATGTCGATGAGCTCATTGACCATCAAGGTGTAGGACTGAGCGAACCGCATCATCACCTGCATAGAAGGGAGACAATGCGTTAAAAATGACACGCTAGAACATTGATCTAGGAAGAATGAGAAAGAGATTAGCGGGCGACAGCAAACTGGCACATTCACAGGCATGTCTGGCTAGTGGTCAATAGATTAAACTCCATTAGGACAAGAGACTTTTCAAAATTAGCTGGACTCTCAGGGCCTAAGATCTAAGACAAGTTATAGGAAATGTTCGTGTTTGCAAAAGCAGCTGACATACATACATACAAACACACACATACATACACACGCATACATGCATGCGCGCGCGCACTCTCGCACACACATACACACCTACACACATACATACAGACATACATGCAAAGATACACAAAGACGTACATTAAGACATACAGACAGACAAACATACCTACATACCTAAATACAGACAGACAGACAGACAGACAGACAGACAGACAGACAGACAGACAGACAGACAGACAGACAGACAGACAGACAGACAGACAGACAGACAGACAGACAGACAGACAGACAGACAGACAGACAGACAGACAGACAGACAGACAGACAGACAGACAGGCAGGCAGGCAGGCAGGCAGGCAGGCAGGCAGACAGACAGACAGACAGACAGACAGACAGACAGACAGACAGACAGACAGACAGACAGACAGACAGACAGACAGACAGACAGACAGACAGACAGACAGACAGACAGACAGACAGACATAACATGTGTGTGGAAGAATACGGTTTAATAGGAGAATGCAGTGATCTTGTTTTAGCGAAGAATCCTGACAGAAGTATCTTTAAATACATTCCTATAGAACAGCCTATAATAATGAGAAGAACTCCAAAAGGGAGCATGCACAGCAGGGGTCTACCGATCATCAGTAGAAAGATCCTTCGTTGACTATTGTTTCGGCTCATTACTTCCTATACAGTCTCGGAAGATGGGCCAGCATGGGTCATGGAGCCAGGCCTCGATCTTCCCCAGCTGCACTTAATCGGACTCTCGGACTAGGACAAGACGTACGGTGACGTTGCAACAGATATTGTGATATCTGGTGTTATATTGTCGCTGCGGTAGAGAATTAGCAGTCTACCTTCACGAACAGGGTGACGAGCTTACGACTGGTTTATGTTTGCAGAGAGAAGCTGGCAGACACTTCCCATGCATTTTGGCTTTAAGGGATAAGAAGCTACTTTCCACTAGGGACTCGGACCAGTCTACCGAGGCCCACCCCCACGACGTTCCGTTGCTTTAAGAGCCGGTTCTTAAAGCTACTTCGCCCAGTTGTTTTAGTGACCGTTTACGCTTGCTTCCTCTCAAGCCCAGCTGCTTTTAGCACATTGTATGTGGAAGTGGAGATTAGAAATCTTGCACCTACCTCGACGGCGAAGTTTTTAACTGTGCACGCTTCGTCTCTAATCAGACCGGCTACGAGCTCGCTGTAGTTTTTTTTTTTTAGCTTGAAAAGGTGATTTTCTTCCATCCTCGACCCGTATAAACATGGACAAACAATGTCACCAAAGTCCTGTAGCACAGACTACACAAAAAACGACATCAGGCTGTGATCAAATGACGACTAACGTCGTCCCGTATAGATTATAAAGAATGTGTATAGACTAAATGGACAAACAATGCCACTAACGTCATACAGCATGCGACAGGAGACTGTGAACAAACACATTGCGACTAACCATGTCCCGTGTAGACAGTGAAAGAAAACGTATAAACAGACGGCGTACCTCTTTAGTCGCCAAGACAAAGGCTCCACTAACCCAGACCATGTTGTCTCTGATGAAGTCCCAGGCGGTTAGCTTTGACAGTTCTGTGGAGGGTGTCACCATAGACATGCCAACAGTGCTGGAGTTGAAGTTTTCAGGGACTTCCAGGCTAAAGCTGTCGTCTTTTGGGCGAAATTTGGGCTCTAGAAGGTTTCTGGTAGTAGCGAGTGTTCAATTTTATAGTTATACAGTAGGTTTCTGGTAGTAGTAAGTGTTCAGTGTTATAGTTATACAGGAGGTTTCTGGCTGTAGTAAGTGTTCAGTGTTAAAGTTATACAGGAGGTTTCTCGTAATAGCAAGTGTTCAATGTTATAGTTATACAGTAGGTTTCTGGTAGTAGCAAGTGTTCAATGTTATAGTTATACAGTAGTTTTCTGGTAGTAGCAAGTGTTCAGTTTTATAGTTATACATAAAATTTCTGGTAGTAGCAAGTGTTCAGTGTTATAGTTATACAGTAGGTTTCTGGTTGTAGCAAGTGTTCAATGTTATAGTTATACAGTAGGTTTCTGGTAGTAGCAAGTGTTCAGTGTTATAGTTAGACAGGAGGTTTCTGGCAGTAGCAAGTGTTCAGTGTTATAGTTATACAGTAGGTTTCTGGTAGTAGCAAGTGTTCAGTGTTATAGTTATACATAAAGTTTCTGGCAGTAGCAAGTGTTCAGTGTTATAGTTATACAGGAAGTTTCTGGTAGTAGCGAGTGTTCAGTGTTATAGTTATACAGTAAGTTTCTGGTAGTAGCAAGTGTTCAATGTTATAGTTATACAGAAGGTTTCTGGCAGTAGCAAGTGTGCAGTGTTCATTGTCATCTGTAAAGTTTTAGCAAGTTTTCAGATTTGTAGTTATACAGAAAGTTTCTGGTAGTAGCAAAAATGGTAATGTTAGGCAACTATAGTTTAAATTTAGCCTTATTGTGAATAGTGAATTTTCGGGGGCACAACTTTCGGAAGGGACTATAGTTGTGTCGCTGCAATCTTACGAGATAACGTAACCATTTGATCTCCTGCTTCTGCATGAATCTGGTGCAAGGTATGTTCTCACAATCTGACAGTATCGTTTCTTACTCGGACTAGGGGGATCGAACTGATGGCTTTTCTCAAGCATCTAATTTAACTGTAATTTTACATGGTTGAGTCTTTGACAATGCATAATGCACAGGGGGCACAGTTTTGATGTCAATATGCTGCTTAAATAATATGTATTGTCACAGTCCTACTTATGGTTGGGTGTTTTAATCAGGATTTCTGGCTGTGTTATAGAATATACTTTTTTTGGATATTTAAATTCTTTACATCGCTTCAGACAAAATCCGTTTAGCTCTTTATGCAGCGGACTATGAATGCTTTATTTCCGTTTTAGTCGTATTTATCTTCGTGTTATGTCTTCTGCATACTGAAATTAACTCGTTTACGTTGCCTTGTAATTTGCCAACCTGAACTCACTTGCGTCTTGCTGTTCTATTAAAGGAAAGGCACTTGTCGTCCTCCCCCTTCCTCCGCCCGTTCCCTCCCCCCTCCCACAAAAGCCTATTTACTGTGGGTGGATTTAATCCTTCTTCTGTAATGCAAAGTTCCTCGTCATCTGGTTTTTGTTTAGATGGACTGTTTAAATCATATAGAAATGATTTCTATGCAGGTGTTCCACAAGAAAATGCGCAGCATGCATCCATGTCTCACTTCTGTACTGATCTTGAACAACGCCAAAGTCACCATACACTTGTCTTGAGAACATCGCCTTCGAACAAATACAAATTGGGTATCTGCATTGAGAAAAGTATGGGACGAATGAGAGCCACCGTGATGTAGCGGCTAAACGCTCGCTTGTGGATCAAATATTGTGTGTTCAGGTCCTTGGCTACCAGGTCAACCCAGCCCTAATTGGTTATCAGGTTGATTCTGGGAAGTAAAGGCGGTCCGTGTGATTTTTACCCCACCACCTGGCAAGTGCCGAATGATCTATAAAATTGAGGTCTAACCCTGCGTGCCCAATACGCATAAGGACGAAAGGGTTCCTTTGCCTTTTACAGGGCAAAGTCACATGTGTACTTTTGACATATTCTAAAAGTGACAAACAATAGCCCTGAAAATGCACAGGTGAAAAATCAACAAAACTGCATTTGGAAGACGTTTAGACAGTTAAATGTTTGCTGATTAAATATCTCCCTCAGCAATTCCACAACAAATACCTATTTATTATGTTTTCTTCCTGGTCTATAAGTGCGACTTTGCATGTCTTTTCATACTTTATTGCTTTTTCTGTCAGCTTTCTTGAAGTAAATATTGCGTCTGTGCAGATTCTGTTACGTCTGAAACCCATCTAGGCTTCTGAAAGTTGTTCACCTACTAATGGCCTTAATCTGCTTTTTGGCTTACATTTTCCCTGTAATGAAGTGATATTCCTCTGCATATAATGCACTCTTTCTTACTCTCTTTATTTTTCCATACTGGTGTAATTACTGCTGTGTGCCAGTCATCTGGTGTTACTTGTGAGCAGTCTGAGAAATTTGTCTGATCCAGTTTTGCTTCTCTTTCTCCAACTTTTGTAGTTAATCAAACAAATACCCCAGGTGGGCACTATGGTTCCATATTCAAGGGCAATAACCACATACTCACTGATCCTTAGAAAGCATTTCGTGAAAGGCAACACAATAATTTAGTTGCGGTCAAATCGCCAGCAACGGAATCAACCTTGCATTTCAGAATTATGAACTGCTTTCGTAAGCTCTAAGACATAGAAGGAGCCTAAATGAAGCTGGATGAAAAAAATTATTTTGGGATTAAAAAGTCAAACATCGCAGCTTAGATGTACCTCACACCATACTGTGCCAGCTGCTTTTTTGTAGAACAGACACAGAAGAAGAAGAGAAAGATAAAGGCGATCGGAGGCGGAGGAGAAGCGAAAGAAAAAGAAGAAGAAAAAGAAGAATAAGATGAAGATGATGAAGAAGAAGAAGAGGATGAAGAAGAAGAAGAGGAAGAAGAAGAAGAAGAAGAAGAAGAAGAAGAAGAAGAAGAAGAAGAAGAAGAAGAAGAAGAAGAAGAAGAAGAAGAAGAAAAGTAGAATGAAAAGAAGAACTAAACAATTAAAAATATGATAGTAAACTTACACAATGAAAAAAAACTCACATTAAAATAACTGAAATGTCCCACCTTAACAAAAAACTGAAGAAACCTGTCACTAAATACACTGGACGCAAACACATTTAGCAGTTAGGCACTGCTGGAAAGGGAGGGGGCGGGGGGGGGGGGGGGAGGAAAGGTGAAATTTAGAAAAGTAAGAAAATGTACAAAAGTCACAAAACTTTGAGACACGTCAAATGGGGCGGACACATTGTTTGTTTTGAAGGTATCAAAAAAAACAGATGTCAGAAATGTCACAGACTAACGTACAAACAAACGAGGCAGTCTTCGAGGAAGTGGATGTATTCAGTACTGAAAAATTATAAAGGGTATAACATGCAGACAGTCAAGACGCTGAGAGAAGAAACAAACCAGAAAACTTCGTGTTAACGTGCAATCTTGACAATATAATCATCACCCACCCCTAACCTTAAGAAGAAGCGGGGCAGGTTAATATAGAAATTCGTTGTAAAACATTCTCTCGATTTCTACGACGTTGGCACTATTGAAAAACAAGGAGATGGCAAAGACATCAATCACATACCTGAACAAGCCTATATCTAGCCAGGCAATGTGTTTTGTGTAGACAAGACCTTTCTCAATCGCCATTTTTAAAACATCAAATTTGGCATTCATGGCGCATGAATACTCAGCGACGATTGTGTTCGGTGGATGTTTTGGGTATAATGGATGATTGTATATGATCCTGATTTTGTCAAGATTCTTGAAAGCTGGGATTTCACTTCTCTGGAGTTTTATTAGGACTGTTCTGTTGGCTGGGAGTACTGACCTAATTTGCCTGTAGAAAACGAGGTAGAAATATAAATGAATTCTATTGAATAAAGATAAAAACGACTATAACGACGATGATGACGACATGAAAAACAACAACAATTACTAGTTGTACTACTACTACTACTATACTACTACAACAACAACAACAACTACTACTACTACTACTACTACTACTACTACTACTACTACTACTACTACTACTACTACTACTACTACTACTATTACTACTACTACTACTACTACTACTACTACTACTACTATTACCACTACTACTACTACTACTACTACTACTACTACTACTACTACTACTACTACTACTACTACTATTACCACTACTAATACTACTACTACTATTAATACTACTACAAAGCAATCGGCAATCGGACAGTGAAATCGAGAATAGCGAGCGAGACGTGGAGAGCTGCTGTCGATTGGGCTGTCAGCTATTTGATAAAAAGGGGTCCCAGCCGTGTTAGCTTGTGAACTGGTGGCTAAATACAATTGCGTGAGAACTAGAGCCGTAATGGGACTAAGTCTTTGAACACGGTTGCACGTTCCAGCGAATTAACAGCCAAACTGATGTGTGATAAGGAGCCTTGTTAAACCAGGATGCCAGATAGCCGTCTGAGTGATGAAGTATTACAGCATAGTGGGCTATTGAAAAACGGAAGCCTGCAATTGGAAACAATTGATGTAGAGAATTCCTGAATAATGAAGATGTGGATGAAGGATCGACCAGATACCAGAGATCGTCAAATTAACCAGAGGGGTGAGCTGAAGGACTCCCAAGTCTAAAAAAAAAAAAAAAAGCAAAATCACAGGACAAGATACAAAGGCATAAAATAAAACACGCTGCTTTAAACGTCTACAGAGTCATGATAAAGACATTTAAAGCCGAGAGCTAACATGTATTCTGTTTCAAGAAAACAATTTACTGGGCTACACCAGGTGAGATAATCTGTAATTATTAGATTCCCTGCACTCTGTAAATGCTTTATAGTTTTGTCATTTGTTCTCTCTTCTACCCCCTATTTTTTTTACTACGTCTCATATCAATAGTTCGTATTCACTGAACTTCTACTTTCCCATTTCAG